GGTGGTTCGAATCCCCACGATGGGGTGAGCTCCCGTTGCTCGGTCCCTGCTCCTGCCAACCTAGCAGTTCGAAAGCACGTCAAAGTGCAAGTAGATAAATAGGTACCGCTCCGGCGGGAAGATAAACGGCGTTTCCGTGCGCTGCTCTGGTTCACCAGAAGCGGCTTAGTCATGCTGGCCACATGACCCGGAAGCTGTACGCTGGCTCCCTCGGCCAATAAAGAGTCGAACACGACTTGACCTAATGGTCAGGGGTCCCTTTACGTTTATATTATGAAAAAATGCAGGACTCTGTCCTGAGGAACGTATGGCAATAATAATTATAATTATAATTTAAATTATAATATGTTTATATGCCACCCATCTGACTGGGTTGCCCCAGCCACTCTGGGCAGCTGCCAACAAATTAAAATATTAAACACAGTAAACGTCCCTACACAAGGCTGCCTTCAGATGTCTTTTGAAATTAATATAGTTGTTTACTTCCTTGATGTCTGACAGGAGGGCGTTCCACAGGCTGGGTGGCACAACCGAGAAGGCCCTCTGCCTGGTTCCCTGTATCTTCCCTTCTCGCAGGGAGGAAACCGCCAGAAGGCCCTCAGCGCTGGACCTCAGTGTCCGGGTAGAACGATGGGGGTGGAGATGCTCCTTCAGGTATACTGGGCCGTTTAGGGCTTTAAAGGTCAGCACCAACACTTTGAATTGTGCTTGGAAACGTACTGGGAGCCAATGTAGGTCTTTCAGGACCAGTGTTATATGGTCTTGGCAGCCGCTCCCAGTCACCAGTCTAGCTGCCGCATTCTGGATTAGTTGTAGTTTCCAGGTCACCTTCAAAGGTAGCCCCATGTAGAGCGCATTGCAGTAGTCTAAGCGGAAGATAACCAGAGCATGCACCACTCTGGCGAGACAGTCCATGGGCAGGTAGGGTCTCAGCCTGCGTACCAGATGGAGCTGGTAGACAGCTGCCCTGGACACAGAACTGACCTGTGCCCCCCTGCCTAAATAGTTTACTTCCTTACTTCCTAATTACATTTGCACCCTGCCTTTCCTCCAAGTTACTTGAGGTGGCCTAGCAATTCTCCTCCCCATATTATCCTCCACAACGACCCTGTGAGGTAAGGTTTGGGCTGAGAGTGAGTTAATGGCCCAAGGTCACCCAGTGAGTTTCATGGACCTCGCAGGGCTGTTGTGAGGATGGAATGGGAAGGAGAACTGTGTAGGCCATCTTGAGCTCCTTGGATAAATCAAATACTCCAGGCAAGCCAAGATAGGCAAGGAGGGTGGAAAACAGAGCCAATGAGGTATGCCAACAGTGGAGTAGGCAGAGGAGAGTCCAGGGAGGGAGGGGGGAGAGGGAGGGAGGGAGGGAGGGAGGGAGAGAGAGAGAGAGAGAGAGAGAGAGAGAGAGAGAGGTCTGCGGGGTAAAGCATATTTAGCCGCTGTGCCTGAGGTTGCCCACCGCTGCCCTAAACTAACAGACAGAAAACAAAAGCTTCTCCTTTCCAAGAGAGTCCATTTCCGTATGATTGAAAGATCACCTCTGTTTTCCCACCTAAAGGTCCCATAGTCATTTGATGCAGGGCTTTTGCGCGCGAATCATTTCGCCCCTGACGGAGGGGTTGGCCATAGCCGAGAGGAAGCAAGTTTTTGCTCCAGACAAGCAATAAATGGGAAGGCAGGAGCACCCGGAGGCTGGAGATCAGAAGAAAGCCAGGTTGGAGATTATGCCAGGCACATTACATAAAGATCATCAATGTTCGGTACAATTTGTCCTGCCACAATAGAGAGCTCCCTGAACGCGGCTGACGCTCTGCATAAATCTGTATTGGAAGTGGGAGATCGCTGAATGATAAATAGTTAATAAAATAACATGAATAAGCCGTCGGGGGTGAACAGCAGCAAAGCTCTGATCGCTGCCCCATCGAAGGCCAATCATACTGCTGTTTTGGAGTTACAATATCCCTAAAGGAGGAATTCAAGTTGTTGCTTTTTCTTAATCTTTCCATAATGCATTGGAAGTGGTTCTCTATATGATGGATTACAGGATTAAGAAGCAGCCTGTCTGTTGTTCTCCTAAATCACCTTAAAGGCTGTGTTCGGCCCCAGAACAGACAACTTCTTACAAACATTGCAATGGGGCAAGGCATGAAATTGTTACCTTTGTGCAGTAAAACTGGCTGCGGCCCACACTCACACACCACTGCCCTCCCTCCTGGCAAGCAAGAATCATGATCAGAATTATTTGGTCCCAAATGGGGAGCCAAATCTTCCAAACCAGGGCATGTCCCTAATAAATTTCAACTGTGGTTCTCAGGGTTGGCCCTTCCCATTTTTCCACCTGATGGGAAATGAGAAGGTGCTGCGAATCGTTGCAAAAAGACTTACAAAAAAAAAAGCAAACCTGTTCTTATTTTCTTACGGTCAGGCAGAGAGGTTGTGAAAGCTGCCATATGTGAAATAGGAATCAATTACGTTTGGAGAGTTTTTCAGTGCCTCAGTTCCTTTGATTGCATGTAGACCAAACCTTGAACCAAATATGCCTTTGTGCAAACTCCCTCGTTACACTACAGATTTAGCAGACAAGCTGTCATCTTCCCGGTTTGCAGTCTGATATGCTTTAACTTATAGAAGCAGTTGACAGGGATTTTGCAAAACTTTTCTTTCCTTTCATGGGAGGCTTCCATGCCCAACCTTTGGCCCCATCCATCATTATTATTTTTCTACTGATGTTAAGAGAAAGTTGGCATCAGCTGATAGGATAGCACGAGAATGTTCAATATTACTTTTTTCTTTCACTTCACCCAGTTGCCTGTTGTTGCTTCAGTTTTTTGTATCTGCTTTGAGATATTTTAATATTTTAAGCAGTATAGAAATTAAATAATCAATCAATCTCTCCTTAACTGAGAAGCCAAAGCCACTTTTCCTTTCCTTGGGCAGGCCAGACCCTGGTGGTACTAGTGTGTGTGTGTGTGTGTGTGTGTGTGTGTGTGGCTTTCTCTAGATGTATAACACAAATGGTGTTTGGTACATTGTTACAAGGGACGCGGGTGGCACTGTGGATTAAATCACAGAATCTCTTGGACTTGCCGATCAGAAGGTCGGCGGTTCAAATCCCCGCGATGGCGTGAGCTCCCGTTGCTCAGTTCCTGCTCCTGCCAACCTAGCAGTTTGAAAGCATGTCAAAGTGCAAGTAGATAAATAGGTCCCGCTCCGGCGGGAAGGTAAACGGCATTTCCGTGCGCTGCTCTGGTTCACCAGAAGCGGCTTAGTCATGCTGGCCACATGACCCGGAAGCTGTATGCCGGCTCCCTCGGCCAATAAAGCGAGATGAGCGCCGCAACCCCAGAGTCGGCCATGACTGGACCTAGTGGTCAAGGGTCCCTTTACCTTTACCTTTACATTGTTACAAATGTACAGAGGGCTGCACATTTATGCTTGCCTCCTCTCAATTCGTGATGTACAGATGGAAGTTGAGAGAATGTAGGAGGGTGATGCAGAGTCGTACCAAAATTCATTTTGTGTGGGCTGCATCCACAACCATTTGCACATCGCCGTCACCATCCTCAATAACAGTTATATGCTGCTTAACGTACAAAAATCCCAAAGCAGTTTACATAAAACAGAGAGAGATGATTTTTTTAAAAGAAAAAGGAAATTGTATATGCCAAAGATACAAAGAAATACACCTGTCAAAACAGAGAAGCCATCAGCAAAACATCCAGCAAGGTAGCAACAAACAACAAAACAGAACAATGTGCTGGATCCATGGTGCTGGCAATGCCATGGTCACAGGTTTGATCCCCATCCGGGACAACTGCAAATTTCCGCATTGCCACGGGTTGGGCTAGATGATCGTCAAGGTCCCTTCCACCTCTACAGCTCTGTGGTTCTATGAATCTTATGAGCTCGGGGATGCCTGCTTAAATAGATGGGTCTTTAGGAGATATTTGAAGCTTGCCACTGTTTCTGCCTTGTGAGCAGCACATGGAAGGATGTTTGGCCATTGACCATGTTGACTGGGATGAGGGGATGGAAACAGGAGGAGGCAGAGGGTGCTGTCCAGCTCCTGGCAATGAGCTCTTTCTGGCTCGGATTCCCTCACTGGCAGGGATATCAAAATTGTTCGGATGCTTCCACAAAAGCCTGAAAGTTCAATTCTACCTACTGAGACACCGCAGTTGCCAGGGCAATAATAATACACCCATAGCCTCCATGGGGCACAGTGTTTGGTTGTGATCAGGCACAGCCTCTCTCCTTGATTTCCTGCTGATCCTGTTTCTGTGTGTCAATTATATCCAGTTTTCAAACACCGGTAAAAAAGGCTGTCAAGTGTTTATTTGGCACCTGCAAATCTGGTTTGCGCAACTCTGTGCAGAAATTGGAATTCTAAGTTTTCGTTATTTCTTGGAAGAGAAATGGGAAGTATAATTTATTGAGAAAGAGACAGGGAGGCTTTGCCTTTCTTAAGTCAAGCCTTGTACATAGCAGGGTGACGTTTGACCAAACCCACAGGGGGAAACTCCCTCAGAACTACGTAGCCAATCAGAGCACATGCCGCCTCAGGGAGTGTCATGTGACCTTGACTGGTTGCTAAGGAACACATCCGCCCCCCCACCCTCTTGGTTGGCTGATTTACTAATAGCAGAATTAACCCTTAGGTTACAAACAGAATGATCTCTGTTGTTGCACTTCCGGCACATGGAAATAGGGGACACCAAGTAAAAGAAGAAGATGGGGACTATTCAGAGATAATGTTACAAAGTGGCCTTCTGTTTCTGAGCAGGTGGGTGGGTGAGAAAACTTTCCTCATGAAGTTTTTCAGGAAAAGAAAAATCTTCGAGAAAATTCAATGCGACTCCTGCCTGATCTGCAGTTTTTTGTTTGTTTTAAAAACGATCAGAAATGTTATCACTTATTGATGAGCAGCAAAGGGCAAGGAAGGAAGCGAAAATATATTTACAGGCGCTGATTGTTCCTGGCAGAGAGCCAGGAGCTGTCACTCTCCCTCGTCCAAATCAGAAAATGGTGCCAGGGATGTAAAGGGAGTTGATGGATCTGTCTCATGTAACTGAGAGGGGGAACTGGCTCCGAGTCAAGAGTATGATCTGGGAGCTTTCAAACAGAACATGCCGCTCTGCCCATCTCTCTCCATTTTGTCATGTCTGGGCTTTTCAGCAAGGCCTGTGACCGGACTAAGGCACTTTTTTGTGGGTTAATTGCTCAGGGTCTGAATAAATTTACCGGGCCAATCTGCCTAATGCTATCCTTGCATTTGTTTGCGATCAGGGCCCGTGTTAGGTCTGTAGTCCTAGCCCACACTCATAATAGGCTTCCCTCCAGGAAATGAAGATCACGGCAGCTGTGGCATTTGCTTCACTCAATGTGTGTCTCTGCTGAGCTTAGAGGGAAGAGGCGTAGCTCAGCCAGAGGCGTAGCTAGCTGTTCCAGCACCACGAGCAGTGGGGCCAGGGCAATCTGCCCACGGAGACGGGGCAATCTGCCCAAGGAGGCAAGGTGGCGATCCACCCACCGTGGCGAGCTGCCCACGGAGTCTGCCTGGCGGACGCAAGACCCACGCTGCCATTTTGGGCAGTGTGAGTCCCAAGCCACTGCGTCACTCCCAGGAGAGACGCGTGGCTCGGTAGCGCTGCAGGCCAGGCCCTGCGGTAAGTGCCGCCCCTGGGGCACGCCATTTTGTCACCCCCTTAGGGACGACATCTGGGGTGGACCGCACCCCCCTGAGCTCAGCAATAGAGCACCTGCTGTGCTGGTCCTGTGGGTTACCAGAGAGGCGAGGTCCAAATCGGGTCAGTGGTCGAAGGTGCAATGTGGAGGCAGTCCGTAGTAGCTGAAGCTGGGTGCAGGGCAGGGAGTCGGGTGATGTCAGGAACAGGCATGCAAGCAGGGAGCCAGGGTGGGTCAGGAGCTCAGGCAGGAAAGCAGGACAGGGTTCGGGCAGGAACTAGCAACCAACAATGTTGCTCCCACAACCTGGGACTGGGGCTGGCCGGCTTTTATCTGCCCCGAGGCATACGGCGGCCCTGATCCTCAGGTGACTCGCCTCTCCTGGCCTGGAGGTGAGCACTCCTCCTGCAGGAACTTAGTTCCCTCCGCCTCTCTGCCCTGAGCCTCTGCAGCTCAGGAGAGGCTGGAGGGTTACCGGACCCAGAGGCAACCTCAGCTTCCCCTGACGGGGCTGAGAGTGGAGCACCTGCAGGCAATGGGTCCTCCATCACCTCAGGAGCCAGAGCAGACTCAGCTGGTGCCTGTACCTGAGAATCTAGCACAGGTGAGGACCCTTCAGGCTCATGCCTCAGCTGGTTCTGGAGGCGGGGAATCCTGTGCAGGCTGGGATTCCTCAGGTTCAGCATCTGAATCTGAATCCCAGGCCATCACACCTGCTTTGCATTCAAGAGGTCCCAGGATCAGTGTTCAGCCTCGGAGTCCGAACTTCTCCCTGTCACCGGCTCTTCCTCCCCTCCTCCCCCTGAATAATACTTTATTTAGAATTCAACAATAACAAAGGGAAAAAAACACAGTAATTGCGACATCAATTCATTACACTTAACCAATTTTAACAATATATAAATAGTAATAGAAAATTTACACAACATCACTTTTACTGAAGTTTTCATATTACACTTTTATCTCTTTCTTAACATATCAAAAACAGAAAGAACAAGAAAGGAGACACAAAAAAGAAAAGAGAAGAGGAAGAAGAAGAAGAAGAAGAAGAAGAAGAAGAAGAAGAAGAAGAAGAGTGAGGGGAAGGGAAAAAAGGGAAAACAAAACAAAACAAAACAAACACATTTGGCTTCCGATTACAGTGGTACCTCGGATTAAGTACTTAATTCGTTCTGGAGGTCCGTTCTTAACCTGAAACTGTTCTTCACTTGATGCACCACTTTAGCTAATGGGGCCTCCCGCTGCCACCACACGATTTCTGTTCTCATCCTGAAGCAAAGTTCTTAACCTGAGGTACTATTTCTGGGTTAGCGGAGTCTGTAACCTGAAGCGTATGTAACCCGAGGTACCACTGTAGACTCATTGTATTAGTATTTCTACAGTTTTTTTCATACACAGTTCCAGGTTATTGTATTTCTTTCTTTGTTTTTGTCAGATATATTAAAAAAAACCATTATATTTGTTGTTTTACAAGGATCATTCTATTTTTCCCAGGAGATATTTATTATTGCAATGCTTTTCCAAATACTCTTTAAAGATTTTCCATTTTCTTCCAACTCTTCCTGCTCACGAAGCCCTGTTGCCCCTTCAGCATCCAGCACCTCCTCCCTACCTTCTTCCTCGGTGTCCCACCACCAGTCCCCTGGCTCTGAGCCTTCCTTCTCTGGGGTTTCAGACGGGGGGGGGGGGGTCCCCTGGTTGGTGCCTTCCACCGCTCCACCACTTCATCCAACCAGGCCCTGGCAAGCGGTGACTCCAACTCAGAAGGTGGTAACACACCAGCCAAGTCCAGGGCAGGCATTGGACCCTCTCAGGGCACGGAGACCCCATCAGCTGCCCAAGGTCACCAGGCCCTGGTGCCATCCCTGAGTACGTGGCTGCTATAAATAAGCATAAAAGGGAAATGGGGGAAATGATAATCTACCTACGTCCAATTTGCAAACAGAAGCGGATGGCTAAATTATTCCTAGAGATGCTTATTGGATGAAAATAGACCCTACATGTTTATTTCAATTTCCAGCGAGCCGGCTTTAATTTCCTCCTCCGTCGGCCCCTCCTGAATTGCCGCTTCCAGGTTGTTATTAACCTTCTTTGTCTTTCCTTAGAGTATGTGGGTTTAGTTTCTATTTTTGCCTAATCCCTCCAAGTCCCTCCCTGCCTTCCTGCCTGGTTGCCATCTCAGTCCCAGGACAGAGGGGCTTGTTCCCCTTGCTTGGGCCTTACTCACCCAGAGGCAGGTCTGGTGACTACACATTTGTCAATTAAATCTCTGTTCCGCAGAAGCAGAGCAGCTTTCCAAGAATCCGCTATTAGCTGTTGCCGTCAAGGTGCCAGAAAGACTTGGACTTCACAGTGATGCACGGCGACAGCCAACTCCAGTCGCTGTGTAGTCTTTGCGAGGGATGATCTGTGCGTGACGCTCTTCCACGTTCCATGGGTGTGCCTCCTAAGCCCAACTTGGGAACATGCACAGAGGTCTCCTGCCTGTAAGGTGTGATGTTTGTTTCTTTTTTTTTAATCAATAAATTTTTATTGTTTTCTCTACACAGTCATTTTTTGTTGGTGTTTGTTGTTTAGTCATTTAGTCATGTCTGACTCTTCGTGACTCCATGGACTCATGCTGGTAGCTTCGAGAACACTATCCAACCATCTCGTCCTCTGTCGTCCTCTTCTCCTTGTGCCCTCCATCTTTCCCAACATCAGGATCTTTTCCAGGGAGTCTTCTCTTCTCATGAGGTGGCCAAAGTATTGGAGCCTCAGCTTCACGATCTGTCCTTCCAGTGAGCACTCAGGGCTGATTTCCTTCAGAATGGAGAGGTTTGATCTTCTTGCAGTCCATGGGACTCTTGAGAATCTCCTCCAGCACCATAATTCAAAAGCATCAATTCTTCGGCGATCAGCCTTCAGCTACCAAACTCCGTAGCCTTATTTTTCCTAAGTAAATAAGACTAATTAAAGCGCTACAAAGTTCAGTGTAATGCTGGCTGAATTACCGAAAGCCTTCCTTGAACGATTTTGAAGGGCAAGTAAATACGAAGCAGTCATCTCCCATGAGGACACCCAGGCAGCAGGAGTCCTTGGTGCAATCTCTGGGCACAGGTTTCATAAGTACATGCCATGAGATATATTTCTTTAGTCTCAAATATTTTTTGGCTGGCTGTACTAATGCACTGGTAAGGGGAATTACCCCAGAAGGCATTATATTCAAATTTCTAGGGCAATCTAGGAGTTTTCTCTAATATGTTGCTGTTGTTTAGTCGTTTAGTCGTGTCTGACTCTTTGTGACCCCATGGACCAGAGCACGCCAGGCACACCTGTCTTCCACTGCCTCCCGCAGTTTGGTCAGCCTTCTTTATGGTCCAGCTCTCACTTCCATACATCACTACTGGGAAAACCACAGCTTTAACGATCCAGACCTTTGTCAGCAAGGTGATGTCTCCGCTTTTTAAGATGCTGTCTATGTTTGTCTAATATAGATTTCTCTAGGTTTCTCTAATATATCCAACCCCATATAACCAACATGCGTTACTCCAATTAATGTATGAAGGGGTTAAGACCATAGAGTAAGCTGTCCTGCCAGGTCACACACTCTCACACTGGGATGAAGGGCTACCAAACCTTTTCTTCTCCCACTTTCCACCATTCTTTTTCCACCATGTGAATCCGACCGGTAAGTCTAAGCTGAATGGTCCAAGTTATATTTGTGTTTCTATATAAATAATTTAAACTCTTACCATTTTTTGAAACTAAGTTGTACTGCCTGTCTTTTCTTGCTGCTGTATGGGAAAGCACATTAATCTTACCTTTGAAGAGATTGTAAGTAAACCATTTTTAATTTACCAAACTGTGTGGTCTCTTTCTATGCTAAGCGGAAGTGGGAAACTTTGGAAGCAACTTAGGAGGACATATTTTAAAGATCTAACAGCCTATATTTCCATGCTTTACTTCGCTGGATGTTTTGTGGTTTTAAAATCTCTCCTGGGGTTCTCTCATCAAAGAGTAATTGCCCCAAACCTGGATCTAGGAATCCACAGAACTTTTCTTTCATTCTTTAATCGAATTACCAAAATCCAGCAAGCAGGAAGGCCTACCCTCTCTCTTTCAGCCATAAGGAACCTTCTGTGGGGTCTGTCAGCCAGTGGTGGCTGGAGCCAAATGCAAAAGTAAGCGGTTATGATGCTTAGCTTTGTATAGTAGCCTTCAGCCACCAGTGCAAAAGTAAGATTTTTATGCTCATGAACATCCTTTCATTCAGGCAAGTAAGGTGCATTATCACAGTTCAAGAAACCATTCCAGGCAGGCGGCTGCACTCAAGGAGGGCGCGAAGCTCTTGGGGTTTAAAAAATTAATTGGTTTATAGCGGAGTTCAAAACTTGGAAGCTAGAGCTACCCACCCCACCACCACCACCTGTTCTGTTGAATTCCCACATCACTAGGACTGCTTAACAGAGTTTAAACACACACACACACGCGTGCACACACACACACACACACACACACACACACACACACGGTCCCACTGGTGAAGAAGAAGAAGAAATGGCTCCTTACTTAGTTTCTTCATATTTATGACTTTGGATTCTAAGCCTACATGTAGGGAGAGGGGGAGAAAGAGAGAAAGGTGGGGTGTGAATTAAGGTTACCTGATGTCCCCGTTTCCCAGGGACAGTTCCCGGATTTAATAATCAGTCCCCATACAAAATCCATTGAAGTTGAAAAGTGTCCCCAGATTCATTGAAAAAACTCTGGTAACCTTAGTGTGAATGCAGTAATAAAATTTGAGGATCTCTCTCTCTCTCTCTCTCTCTCTCTCTCTCTCTCACACACACACACACACACACACACACACAAGCACACCAATTTCTTCCCCTCCAATCTAGATCTGGAAGCATCCCTCAGCAGCAAACAAATGGTGTGTGTGCATGTTGAGTTTTGCTGTGTCTCCATTTGTGCCCAACAGGGTACCAAAGCAAATTCAGCTCTCTGAGCTGCATCTATTTTAAAATCTATCCAAGGCAAGGTGTTTTTTTTGGGGGGGGGGGGAGCAGGGAGATGTGGCTTCTTTTTAACTAGCTCTCCCATTAGCCTCTCATTTCTATTTTATTTTTTTTTAAAGAAGTGACAGGATGTGTTTTATTCATTGTTATCTCCTGTCATTTCTGGGTTTATTTTAAGCTTGCGGTCTATTGTCTCGTTTTGTAAGCAGAACTCTCTGGCCTCAGAACGAAATACGCTGGGAATCGACTTGGGATGGCATTCACCCCCATCAGCAGAAGTGCAGAGTGGCAAGAGGAAAGGGGGAAGGTTTAAGGGTGGGGATGGAGGAAAGGAGCATCTGAAGGAGCGTCTCCACCCCCATCGTTCTACCCGGACATTGAGGTCCAGCGCCGAGGGCCTTCTGGCGGTTCCCTCATAGCGAGAAGCCAAGTTACAGGGAACCAGGCAGAGGGTCTTCTCAGTGGTGGCGCCCGCCCTGTAGAACGCCCTCCCACCAGATGTCAAAGAGAACAACAACTACCAGACTTTTAGAAGACATCTGAAGGCAGCCCTGTTTAGGGAAGCTTTTAATGTTTGATGCATTACTGTATTTTAATATTTTGTTGGAAGCCACCCAGAGTGGCTGGGGAAGCCCAGCCAGATGGACGGGGTATAAA